TTCTTCGCCAAACATGAGCATACTTGGTTATCAACCCATTGATCTCTGTTTATTTGCATGGTATACCATCATGATATAGGGTAAGTATTGTAAGTGTTAGTCCCAGTCATTTTTGTTTGGGTTAACAAGCTTAACAAGCATCTGCTAGACAGTCTGTATTGCCCATTCCACTAAACCATGAGGCTGTGTGTGTGTGTGTGGCGGGGGATAAGGTAAAGTGTGTGTCACCACTCCAAACATTTTACACAACTCAAATAACAGTTGGTTCTTAAAGTTAGCTGCTTGGCCTATGTGGATGTCTTAATGTGCTCCAAACTAGGCTATCCAATGTTATATCATGGCATACGCATGGAAACCTATTGACAAATGGATGGGTTTCAGCTCAATGACCACAAGTATATACAAGTAGCTTTGTTCCATCTTCAAAAGTGGACCAACAATATTCAGGATTATTCTCTGCAGAGGAGACCAACAATTGTTTACTAAAGTTTACCCAGTTTAGGCTGGCTTTTTCTATGGGTAGCACACACCATACAGTATTCACACAAGTGCTGAATGTCTCGACTCAAACGTGGCCAGAAAAACCATCGTCGAATGTTAGCATAAACACATGTAGCACCTTTTTACCATCCAGTCTTTGTGTTGTGCAAAGTTTGGAGAATCTCATGCCTCAAAGCTTTGGGAACCACCACTTATAACATAGATTGATAACAACTGTTCAGTGGCTGATAATAATGGTACATTACACCATTCTCCATTTGAAACTGCTATTGCAAGTGACGTTTATGTTACATTCCTCGATCTCAGTTGGTCTTTTTTCACCTCATTACATAGCAAGAAATGCCCTTTTTAGATCTGAGTTTTTAAGTTTCTCTTCCCTGAGCTCTCAAAGTGTTAATTGTGTATACACACACTAAGGGAATCTCCTATCATGTGGCATGTCGTTGCTATGGCAGAAATGGTATAAGCTCCCACATGGTGTCCAAGATCAGAACATTCAACAAATGAATATGATCTAACCAATTTGGCTCACCAGTGCCTAAGCGGTAAGTCTGTAAGCTTATAGCGCTAAAAACTGGGTTTAGATACTCGTGGTGGACACAGCACAAATAGCACATTGTGTAGTTTTGTGCTTAACAACAACAAAACAAACTCACCATTTGGCAATCAGTCTGCATTTATAAGTTACAAGTCCGGGAAATAATGTATGATTCAATCATAATTATACTTCTGCAGTGGTGTTATCTTACGTGCTCTTATACTTCTGAGGTTTTAGAGTTCATGAACCACTTCAGTGATGCATGGCCGACTTCAAAAGTGAACTTTAAAAGTAGTGCCAAAAGTGTTTTACGTAGACCGCGAATACAAGCCAGTTTGTTCTTTCTTCATTGTACAGTACATATGTTCAGGAGATGTGAATGTATGACAGTCATAAACGATTAAACATTCTACTCTATCTTGCAAATGAGATAACACTGCTACGTTTCCGGTAAGTGTCTGTGTCTAGCAAGAACATACAATCCTATCATGGATATGCCAACACCACAGCTTCTAAACACACTTCAGAGACTGGAATGCCTGCTCACATTTCTCATTCCATCTAACGTGTGTGTTCACTTTAGTGAGAGTCAATAATTATGAGGTAATCTTGGAGAAGTTTGGCTTAAACCATTGGTAATACAGCACAAACCCAAAGAAACTGCAGACTTCTCATTCGATCAAGGAGTGAGGCCAATCTTGCACCTCTGCTATTCCTTTTCTATTTACAATATAACTGAGAAAGTATACTTCCATGCGGATGAATGCACTTATTCCTGGTTTCAGTTTCAAGTTTACTTTTTATCCACTGGAATACTATTTTCAGGTCCTCAGACATAAAATCAAATGTGTAACCCAACACTAAGAGGTTTTCAATATAGGTCAGCCACTTTTCCACCGAAGCCCTTTAAGTGTAAGCTCAGTTAACTTCTCTTAAGTGGCAGCTCTGTTACACAGGCCGAACTGCAATGACACAAAACTTGTAAAAGCTATCTCTCTCATTCTGAAAAAACCTGTCTTAGGTCAACTATCGTCATCTAGCTTGACTTATTAGTATGAAGATCCAGGTTTAATATATTGAACCAATGGGCTTCTTCCAATGTACCCAGACATTCGTCTGTTCAAAGTAATAAAAATACATCAATGTGAGTCACCATACTGTCCCATCTTAAATCAATTAAGAACTTGAGCAGACTCTCCTCCTTCCTGATAATCCCTATTGTAAAAGATCAAACACTCTCTGATGGTTGTATTTTTCCCATCATCTAACATCACTGTATATTAGCAATGGCTGCATCCATAGTGCTTCAGGAAGCCTGAATGTTGGTTCTTTGACTGCGTGTACGTTACCTGCACCTCGGTGGTTTTATGTTACTGTTGTTTGACCCAATTAGCCATATTCCCCATAAATGCATTATTATATTCTACCAACAAATCACTGAGTTGCTGCCACTGACTGAGTATAATTTATCTGCACAGCTTTCAACTAACAATTTCAGTTGAATTGGTAACCACGTAGTTGCTTTATGAGGTAATCCTAGTATTGCCACTAGCACCAGTTAGTTTCTTACCATGTCGAAGCCAAATATAGTGTACAGCTTGATAACTGATAACCCATAATTTCAGAACAATACTAGAACTCCATCCTCCTCTTGCAAAAAATAACTGACTGAGCTAATGGTGTTTGTTTTCTGAACAAGAAATAGCCCATATCATGTATGGGCTATATAAATGCATTAAATGGCACCAACACTCTTGTCTTTGTCCATGGTAAACCACAAAACACCAATTGTGTACATGGGGGTACTGTGAATTCTTCTTCCACATACACTCATGCAGTCCACTGTTCTTAGGGTCAGTTTGGACGACATTGGATAACTCTACAGTAGAACATTAGTTTGTGAGTTGCATAAGCAAAACTAACTAATGAGCTCAACGGTTTGTCCATCTCAATGATGTTGATGCCAGAAATGAGGTCAGCAACAATGTCCTTTGTTTTAATAGAAACTTTCTAGACATAGCCAGTACATGAGTTTTACATTCACATTTAGTTTATCTACATTTGCCAGAACAAAGCTCATGTTGAGTGGCCTGAGTGGTGGATTTACTCAGAGTATATGACATACCATGTGATCTACAAGTTTGATACCTACCCATGTATCAACTAGGAACTTTATTTCTTGCCCTTTTAGTCTGACAGGCACATATCAAGACTCACCCAGCCAATTTCTTTGTTACACTCTCCCAAGCTAGTGATCAGGCCCAACTTTGGCTCCTCTATTTTCCTAGAGGTGTATCTGTTGGCTCTCATGCACCTATTGCACTGTCAGTCAAAACCGAGGTAAGGGTGGCTTACTCAAAAGTGACCCAATACTCAACATGCAAAGCATGTACTTCTTTCCCCCCTTCTAGGATACATAAATGGCACATAAACCACGTGAAGATGTAGATAGCCATGCCCATTCATTAGATACAAGTGTGATTGCATTTCAATGCCAGGATATATGGTTGATTAGTAAGAGTGAAAAGATCTCTCACACCCAGTGATGCCGCATCATTTCACTGGATAGCCTTTCCATAAACTTGTCAACAAGGAAATCCTCACAATCTACTGAGATCATTGCAGGGTGTGCCTTGCTGTGCAAACTGCACAGATATTCCACGTAATCAATTGAACTTTCCTTGGTACTCCTTTTCTAAATCTTGAATTTAGCCTGATGGAAAACTCTGTTTTTCATCAGGTCAAAAGTGCAATTCAGTAATGGCTGTTTCATAGTTATTCCTCATTCAAATGCTCAATGGGTCAGACTGCCTAAACTCAGAACAGGTACTGTACAGCGTGTTACAGAATACAACCATTCAAATCAGTTATCTGCCTACTTCAGAAATTATCCAAATCCGCCTTTGTAATACCTTTTACCCTACGACAACGACGTGCCGGAAAGTGAAGCACGTTACGTAACTCTCGTTAAATTTCGTTCCAATAATCAAATGAGTAGATAAAATTGCTTAAAACTTGACAAGAACTTTCAGAAAAAATATGATAAAAATTAAATGTGTAATTTTGTTTTTTTCTACTACTTCTAATAAAAATTCGTTATTTAATTTAGTTATTTGCTCAGAGACTCTGAATAGTTCACCTGTTAGGTGATTTTCATTTTGAGTATAAAAATACTATTTATTATCTTACAGTTTTCACATTTGACTTGCACAATCTCTTGAACCTCCTAAATGAATATCAAAAGTTTTTAAAGTAAATGTTTATATTTTATTTTCCATTTTCTCTACCATATCAATAACTCTAGCTGTTATCATGAACGTACAGTGCAATGAAATGTTTAAAATTAAGAAATATATAAATATGTACATACCTTTTAACTCTTTGTTGAATAACCTTAAAATATCTTCTTTGGGTCATATGCGCAATTTCACATCAAGAAGCTTTAAAATTGTGTAATTTTTGTTTTGAAAATCAGAGGTTTAGATAAAAATTAAAATGTTATGAAAATTTATTTTTTAAATAAATGTTATTAGAAGTAATTTCACTGTGTTTTTAAATACCTATTTCAAGTAATTTGGACACCTGTACAGGGAACGGGTGATTCAGCTAGTAAACATACAAATAGAAATCTTAATACTTTTTAACATTTTGACAAATGCAAATTTAGTAATTTAGATCTAATTCGACCAACAAACCTTGCTCTTCTGGTTATGAAGAGTAGTTTTGTGATAAAGGTCTGGGAAATCGTATATATATAAGAAAAACTGTAACAACATTAGGCAAAGTAGGTAGCAGCACTCTTTCAACTAGTAAACTGGACCATTTCCGTTTCTTGTACCGGCGTTCTTTCAACCGCTAGGTGTGGCGTGAAAGTTAGAAAATGTCTTTTAAAAACCGTAAGATATATTTGAAAGAGATATAATACATTTTTAATATAGTTTAAAATACTGATAGATTTGTAAATGGTTTAATTTAGTTGCTTGCATGAACATATAATTTAGGTTATTATAATCATAGTCTTGATAGTGGTAGGCTATAAAACTAAAAGTAATCCACGTAGGACATGTATTGATGTAGTAATAGTATACCACTAGACTAGTACTAATAGTAGAAATTTGAAGTTAAATTGCAGTAGGAGTATGACTGTGAGGTGAAAGTTTGTAGGCGTACATACTGAAGGCTTGTCGTCAGTATATTAAGTATAAATTCACCCTCACTCCGCACTACTTAGACTAGCTTAGAATGTATGTGTTTAATTTCGTACTTAAGTTAGAACTTAGACTAACGGTTAAAAATAAAAGCAAATAAAATAAATGTGCTTTAAACTTTAAGTTTAATGAAAAAAAATTGAAAAGGCGATCACAAAATAAACTGTAATACAGATTAAATTATTGGTCTAAAAATTATAATTTTAAATGTAGTGTCTAATGACAGTAACCAAAAGTGGGGATCATACGATTTGGTCTTTTAACTTTACAAGGAAAAAGCCAAAACTTAAACCCACCTCAGTTTTTTCAGCAAGTCACTGATTCCTTTTTTTTTCTTTTTAAATTCTTGGCATATACTACTGACAGCAACTCACTTCATAAGCCAATCACCATGTTGGAAAAATAAAGCTGTTTTAACTGGAGCCTAGCCTTGTCTTTTTCTAAATTTTGTGTCCTTTCATCATATTATCTTCAGAATATAACACAAAGAAATTGGAAACCCTTGCATCTGAAATTGTGTCCCAGCGTTATCTTGTTAACTTCAGTAAGATCATTTCTTACCCTTCCTTTCACAAGTAAAAATAAATTAAGAGGTCTTAACCTATCCTTGTAACTTTAAGATAACCCTTCCATCTGTGGAATTAATTAGTAAGTTCTGAACCCTTTTCAGTAAGTCAATATTCTTTCTTAAATAATGAGACCAAAACTGTACACACAATTCAAAGTGAGGTGCAACTAGTGATATATAGAAAGAGATAATTAACTCTTTTGGTTTGTAACCAATATGTCTATAAATACGCCATGAAATTATATTATCTTTAATATTAGTAACAGGCACTTCTTTGAGTGACTTGCTCAAAACTGCTCCACAATCCTTTTCTTCAGTCATTCTATTGATTGGTTTCCTATCTATGTTAAATGTGTGATCTAATTTATGATAATACAAATGCATGACCCTACACTCTCTTTTTATTAAAGGGCACTTGCAAAATATTTGTTCAACTTACTAAGTGATCTAAGGCATTCTGTAATATCTCAACATTCTTTATACAGCTTGAAATACTCATCTACAAACTTTACTAATTATTGATGTAATTAATGTAAATTATGAAAAAGTAAAGGCCCAAGCACTGAACCATGAAGCACTTCACCAGTAAAAAGGGTCTAGTTTCACTGGAATCCATTAATAACAACCTGTTGCTTTCTGTCTTCCAACGATACAATCTAACTGGGCTTTTCCCCAACCCCTACTATCCAGGTAATACACAACACTGTCAAAAAAAAAGTTAATAGATTAGTAAGGTAAGATTTTTATTTAGTAAATCCATGTTTATTTTATTTTAGAATATTTTTTGCAACATGGTTTTGCAGTTTTTATCATTTTCTGTAGAATTTTTCCCTCTACAAGCAATAGACTGACTATTCAATAATTTCCACAGCAGCTATTATCACCCCATTTTAAAATAGAAGTAACATTAATAACTATTTGGACAGCCCTCTGGCACTTGCCCATTGTTTACTGACCTACCAAAAACAAAAGAGAATGAGGCCTGCATACCTTATCTTTGACCTCTTGTAAAACCCTGATTAAAAACAATGTCTATATATGCTTTATATAGTTTTGATATTTCACTCATTCTTTTTTACCATTAAAGGATTGATATCTACATGATTCAGGTCAATCTCAGTATTTCCTATAGAATGATTATGGTCAGGAATATTATGAACATTCTCTCTTCAATGGAATGGTAAAACAGTAAATTTTCTGCTGTGTTATGTACCTAAATTTAACTCAAATTTGTATTAATTGTAACTCAGATTTTACAAATAATATCAGAATTTGTTTTATAATATATTTTTTTCATAACAAAGAAAAAACCTAATTTTGGCAGTGAATATTATGGGTGCTTTTTGATTAACTTAAAGAATAAAGCACTAAAGTGTCTTATTTGGTAAAGACTAGATAGCCTTTATTCTAGGGTGATAATGCTAAGATCAGTGGTGTTGTGGGACATCTATCCCAGATTTTTGATATATCGGAAATAATAATCCAAGTGATCATGTTAACCTGAAAATAAAATTTAAGAATAAAAAGGGACCTGTTGGTCCATCTGGGCCATACCAATCAAATGACTAAACTTAGAAACAAAGAAAACATACTCATTTAGTCAAGCCTTCCCTTAAACTTCTTAAATTTACTACATCCATTACATCTGAACACAATCCATTCCAAAGGCCAACCACCGTTAGAACAATAAAACTGTCTTAGCTGATTTATATTTGTTTCCCCTAGTCTTACCATTCTTGCAATTAAATGTGAAGAATAATGATGTACCAACACTGTCAATTCCCTTAACAATCTTAAACACTTCTTTCAGATTCCCTCTAATTCTTCTTTCTTCAAGAGAAAGCTATTTCAGAGAAACTTGTCCTCATGTCGCAACCTTTACATCCAAGGTATTATTCTAGTAGTTCTTCTCTGAACTATTATACTCTTCCAAAGGTAAATATCCCAAGACTGAACATAATATTCCAAATGAGGCTTTATCAGTGACTTGTGCAATGAAGTTATAACCTCTTTAGACTTGTATTCAATATTTCTGTGGATACAACTAAAATCCTATTTGCCCTACATCTAGCAACAGCACTCTGCTTGGATGGCTTTAGAGACTGGTCAACCAGAACACCAAAGTCCTTTTCGTTAATAACATTTGTTAAAGTTATACTTATAATTCAAAGTATAACAACCCACATTCATTACTTGCATTTATTGTAATTAATAACGTTCTGTCATTTATTTGTCTGAGTCACCAAATGAACTAAATCCTTTTGTAAAGCAACAGCATCTTCATTAGAGCCAGCAACACCTAAGACCTTAATATCATTATCAAGTTTAAGTAATTTATTGACCATTCATTTATTTGTCATTGATCTAACTAAAAAAAAAAAAGGGGCAAAGGTCCTAACACTGAGCCCTGAGGTACCCTATGTGTAACATGAATCCAGTTTGACTGAACTCTATTTATAACAATCTCATGTTTTCTTCCTTCCAGCCACTTTTCTGTCCAATGATCCAGCTTATCCCCTATACCTATAAAGATAATTTGTTTATAAGCCTTTTAAGTGGCATCTTGTATGCTTTCTGAAAATCCAGATATAATAAATTCACACCTGCATCCTCATGAACATATGCAGTAACCTCTTCAAAGAATGTCAAAAGTGTTTTCCCTTGTGAAACCATGTTGACTATACAACAAAATTCTAAGTATTGTTAATTGAATTTGTAAAACATCTTTTATGAGATTTTCAAGAACTTTTCCCACCACTGATGTAACACTAATAGGCATATCACTACTGGGATATTTTTTAATAATTTTCCTTATAAAAGAGGAGTAATTTATGCTAAATTCCAATTCTCTGGCACTTGCTCACTATTCACAAAAATAGTAGCAAGTGACTTGCATATCCAGTCCTTAATCTCCTTCAAAACTCTTGGGGGAACAGCTGATCCAGGAGCCTTGGCATTCTTTATACTTCCCACTTTTTTTGTAATGAAGCTCAGAATTAATGTGATAATTTGTTTGATCTTTTTTGGTAAAGGACTCTCCTGTTAAACATCTGTGTTCTCCATATTAAGAAAGTTTACTTTTGCTGTATACAGGAAAAAAAAAGCTTGTACATTGAGTGCAGCTTATAAGGAAAAGTCCTGTATAGATGTGTAGAAGTTTTCATCATTGTAGAAAAGGGGTGTTTCTTGCATAAGTAGTATAAGCAAATGGGAATATTAACTTATTTCCTGAATCAAATTCTAACATTAGACATTTTGTACACCAGGTGAGTGCTCTACCAACTTAGCAAAAGGTTAACCCATTAGTGCTTGCTTTTAAGACACTTTTTAATAACTCAAATTATTACAGAATCTTAAGGACATGTTTGTAATGTGGCTTTCGTATTTTTTACAATTTTATGGGCTTATTAAATCACTCGTATATATTTTTACTAGTTGGGATTAGTCAGTAGTTATTTCCAGGTAATTGAAATTGTTATATGTTACTGTATTTCATATAGTATTATAAAGTTATAATTTTGCTGTTGGAAAGTGGATTACAATTACAGCTGTTAACCATGCTTTTGTTAAGTACATGTATAAGTTCATTTATTGTATCGCTTATTTCAAAATAATATTTTATTTTACTGGAACAATTTTATGTTGTTTTAAAATAATATTAAGCTTTTAATGTAATTGCATATTTTTAGGAAATATATTTGCAACTTTGCCTCGTACTCAGAGGGGCATGCCTTTGGTTTTGGGTGGTGATCCTAAGGGGAAAAACATCTTGTATGCCAATGGAAACAGTATTATCATCAGAGATATTGAGGTACTGTGTGTTATTTGTGAGCATTTTATGCTATTTATATAATTATTTGTAAGCTTTTATAAGACAAGATTGCATGTTAAAAAAGAAGTTCTATAGGTTGCACGTTTTTCTGTGGTTCACTTTACAAAGGTTCATATAAGCTTAGATAAGCTTGTTGAGAACATTCTACAGTTTTTCTGTAAATAATGTAATTTTTTTTTGTTATAAGATTATTTTTTTGTCATTTGTAGTCAAGTTTAAAGTGAAATACTGATGAGTATTGGATTGTTATGATGCTTAAATAAAAAAAACCCCTACAAAGTAAAATCAAGGTTTTAAATACTATTCTATTTAATTGTATATTATATTGTTATTTTTTAACCTATACACTGTAATGAAAATTTTTTTCTACTATTTGGTATGTATTTATAAAAAAAATTAATTCAGTATTATTATGTATGCTGGCTTCTTGGGATCTATAATTTGTTTAGATAGTCTTCACTTTTTAAACCATATATGTATGCATTGTGTAGTTGCGATTCTCTATATTGATGTCAGAATTTTTGTGAAATGTATAACAGGCCTCCCTACATTTTCCTTTTTGTTTAAAATAAAAATGCAGGGTTCGACATTAAGGCACATTGACCAACCCAGTCTAGCTGAAGTTGGGCCTTGTAGTGCTGAATCTGTGCCGAGGTAGTCTGACTAGTTGTGTTAAATTTATTGTCATATGACGTTGGTCTTCCTGCTAACAAGTTCCTATTAATCATAATTACAATTTCATTTCAAATGTCACAAAAACTGTCTAAATTTTTTAAACTGTATTTCCTACATCATTTCTTGTTAACAGTCCAATTTGTGCACATGTATTGTTTACATAGTCTTGTTCAACCAGACATACAGGAAAGAGGGTTTAGTAGAATGAGAACTATAATTGACTATCATAGTTGGCATTGTGCTTCAATGTTAATATAAGTAAATCATTTACTTCACAATTATTTTCAGAGCTAAAAAAAGCTAATTAAGTTTGTTCTAAGCTCTTTTGAAAATTATGAAAAAGTATTTCATTATATCAATTAAATTAACATTAAAATTATTACAACATTCTTGACCATTTTACAACTGTTTACCTCCTGATGCAAAGTTAAAGTAAGAAAGTCTTTATTCAAATTCAGTTTTACTTCTTTGGATGGTGTAGAAAAGAAGGGAGGAGGAGAGAAAGACACCAATAGGTAGGGATGAAACAAAAAAAATTAAGAAAAGGAGAAAAGGAAATGTGTGTTCTATCCTAAGTGGAATAATGAATTTAAATGGGTAGTGTACAACGAGAGTGAAGATCTAATATATTGGGTTCCATGTAGAAAGTTTGAGAAGGAGGGTAGATTTGTCATGTGCACAAATAATTTTATAATTGATTCTTTGAAACAACATAATGCAAGTACATAACATATATCAGCTCAAAGAAGGCACGACTTGGAATGCATGACAAATAAATCAAACACAGTGTTTTGTTTATATATTGGATGTTGCTATCAGAGGGCTAAATGAAAGTCAGAAAGCACAATTGCTTACTTGTTTTAACACTGCTTACATCATTTCTAATAATTAACTGCCCTTAACTGTGTACCCAAGCCTTCTTGATTTACAAGCTATGAACAATGTTGAGCTGCAGTTCTTATATGAGGATATCTGACAAGAAACGCAGTTTACTGAAGAATGCACAGGTGTTATCTATAATGTTTGATGGTGTGACAGATGTGTTCATTTGTGAACATGAGATTGTGTATGCTGAGGTTGTGGTGGAAGGTGTGCCAAAGAATATCTATGTAAAGATAAAAAATATGGAGCATGCTCATGCTGAAGGTGTTTTGGTAGCAATGGACAGTGTGGACAATGCAGGTTGGTACTGGAAGGAAAAACTAATTGCTAATAATTCAGGTGGAGCAAATTTGAACTTGGGGGGGGGGCACTATGTGTTAAAACTTAAAAAATGAAATGCTTCATCTTGTTGTCATGCATTGTGTAAGTCAGATTGGAACTTGGTGCATCAGATGCAATAAAGGATAAAGATACAAAGATCTTTGGTGATTTTAAAATTGTTTTGTTGAATTTGCACAAATGCTATCATTACAGTGGCAAAAGCATTGAGAGAGCTTTAAATGTTAGCTGAAGCTATGGAGGAGAAGATGATAGCCAGTAAATTTGGAAGGTACCAGATGGATGCCACATCTAAGTCAATGTCTTGATATCCTTTTACTGCAGTATCTGGTGTTTATTACTCATTTTGAAAATGCTTTAGAGGGTACAATTGGGACAGTGGATGTTCAAAGCCAAGCTGATTCTTAAACATCTGAAAGACTATAATCTTATCCATTATGTGCATTTTCTAAAGGGTGTATTATCTATCTTGAGCAAATTTTCATTACAGTTTCAAAAGGATAGCTGTGGTTTATCTGGTGCTGTGGAAGTTCTTGAAACATTTTGCCTGCAGCTTGTTACTCTGCAGCAAAGATCAGGAGAGAACCTGCAGATGTTCCTAGGCAGTGTAGAGGCAGATAATACATTCCAAGGTGTGAAACTTTGCTTCCATTTCAACAGGGAAACAGTTCAAGACAAAACAATTTTCTCATTCAGTTGGTTATTGACCATATGAATAAAAGGATTGATGACATAAATTCAGAGTATCTAGTAAAAATGGACATGCAAATATTCCATTCAGTCAACCTTCCAGAAACTGATACTGCATTATATGGAAAAAATGAAGTAAATAACTTGTGTGAATACTACTACAGTTTTAAATACAATGGGATGTGACATTCAACATTTGAAATTGGCAGAATGGCCAGCTCTGAAAGTTCATATGAAGAGGCAGCCAAGAGGCATTAACGTTCAAGAATTCTATCAAAGGCTTTTCTTGAACCCCAACTTGAAAGATACTTTTAAGAATATAATCATACTAGTTGAGATCATTTTGTGTATACCAGTTTCAAGTGCAATCTGTGAGAGGGGATTCTGATTAGAGAGCTTGGTTAAATGCAGACATCTTGAACTACCACATGAAAGTTTCCATTACAAGGCTAGGTTATATGGACTATAATGCAGAACAAGCTATGGCATTATGGTGGCAACGTGCAAGGCAACCTGACTTTGCCGAACCAGATGAGATGGTCTAGTATTGTGATATATCTTATAGAACATCTACCTCAAGTCATGATCTAGTCATAGGAGCTTGCTGGCATTGATTGATGTTAATTATAACATTCTGTGTTTTTAGAGTAATAGCTATGAATAAAGCAATTCCAGCATAATGCTCTAGTTTTAAATTTTAAAATTGTATTGTTTTTACTTTTTTTTTTCCAAATTTAGATTCAAAATATTTTATAATTCACAGATGTGCCAAAGTAGAGCATTATCATACATACTATTTAGTATCTATGGTATCATTTGTTACTTTTATTTACTTTAAATTTGTTTTCTTTAGCTGTTTTTTATTCACCCTCTTTGTTTAGTAACAGACTTTTACATCTGTGTTTGAGTTTTGACCAATGTACCATGTCTTAATATATGTAATTAAGATTATTTTTCTTCTGATATGTAAAGATATACATGTGTAGTGACTTTCTGAAGGTTGCTAAGTGTTGAAGATAATGTAATATGTGATAAAAATCAATAGTGTTTTTTTGTAATTTTTAAGATTGTATTTTATTTATCATGCTTATTTGTACACCAGTGTTGGTACAAATACTGAAATCAAAAGAGATATGAAAAACTTTTGAATAATTGATTTTTACTTCTTTTAAAGTTTACTGTAAATAAAGATATACATTGAAATAGCTCTTTTCATTTACACAAGACAATCTATTTCATCTTTGTAATTTGATAAATTGAAACAGTCTAACAAGGAAACACAACTGTGATTGAAAAGGCACATAATATAGTTGAATAGCATTTCAATAGAAAATGATGGATATTTCCACAACAGGTATACTTTTTACATTTACCACCTAAGAACAAAGTATGCATGTTGATTAATTCATATTCAGGCCAGGTCTAGTAATTTCTTAAAGAACTGGTCCAACTGTTCTAGTGATATAAAAAGTTAATGTCGAACCCTGAAATGTAATAATTTTTTCAAAGTTATCCATACTTTTATTGTTTAAAGTAAATTAAAGTTATTTATAGATATTTATTTCAGATTATAATTTAATCAGATTTCAAAGTACTGCTGTTAGTGTTTATTGATCAGCATTGCAAGCTGTGATCCAAGAACTTTAGATTGAAGGTAGGTTAATAGTTACTTCCCCTGGTAGAGGTAGGAAGTTTAATAGATTAATTGATATAACATAATGTTAAGGGACAACAAGGGATTTGTTGGTCCATCGTGGCTGTCATATCCTCTAAACTTAACTATAATAAATTAAAAAAAAAATAAAATCTTAAAGCCAGCTCTTATCATTCATATAGTTATCAAGCTTTCTCTTGAATTCACTTAAATTTACTGTCTCCACTACATCAGAAAGCAATTCATTCCAGAGGCCAATCACCCTGTTAGAAAGATTTAATTATCTTAGCTAAAGATACTTCTACCTTGCCAACATTTATATTTGTTCCCCTTAGTACTGCTATTCTAGCCATTAAGTATGAAAAAAGATGATGCATCAACACTGTCAATTCTCTTTACAATTTTAAACACCTCAATCAGATCCTATATTTTTTTTTTTTTCAAGGGAAAACAATTTAAAAAATCTTAATCTCTCCTCATATGACAAACCCTCCATCCCAGGCACTATTCTATATTTCAAAGTATTGTTGTTAGTGTTTCTTGATCACCATTGCAAGTTTTTATCCAAGAACTTTAAATTTATGATGGGTTAATGATTATCTTTGAGCAGTGATTACATCAATTAGTGTTACATAAACTAATCAAGTAATCATAATTGGTGTTTCCAATTATTGTTGTTTTAAAGTATCCCAGCAGTTGATTAATGAGAATTACGATCAACTCATTTTTCACAAAAATAATCATCTAATCCAGTAGTTTCAAAACTTTGTATTGGTGTCCCCCTCCCCCAACTCAGCATTATTTTTCTTGGGCTCCCCTCCTTCATACTTAATAATTTTTACAAGTGATAATAATAATAGCATATACAGTAGTTTCTTTGCCTCTCTTTAATAAGTTTTTTTCTTATGTGTTAGCAGAAAAATTTAAAGGGTTAAACATTTATTTTTGATGTTTTTTTGCTTCTGTCATTGTTATTTTTGGGTTTTCCTAGCAAAAGGTCATGCTCCCTCAGGGGGGTGTGCCCCACAGTTCAGAAAACATTGATCTAATCAAAATTAATGTTTCTGATTGCTACTGTATTTGATTATTCCTATAATTGATTAATTGAAATTATGGTTAAATCAATAGTCATGAAAATGATCAACTCACTGAAATTAAGGTTTTTGAATATTCCAGCTATTCAAATAATCGAGATATTACTATTATGTTTGTTTTTGATTACAAAGCTACATAATGGACTTTCTGTGCTGTGCATAATTTTAGACATAAAAGTTGTTTTTTTATATCAAGTTTGAGTTTGGGAGGGGGGACTAGTGATTCTAGAGTCTTGGGTTGGATTTCCATTGGCACCAAATTTCTTCACCCTATCTTTTGTATGGCAAAGCTATTAAGGCTATCTGCCACAGTCATTAAATTTGAACTACTGACTAAAGGGAAGGCAATTGTCTAGCAGCACCCACAGCAAACTTTTTTGTGTTTTTTTTATTTTGCTAGTATATACCATGGTTTGAGGAACGCTGTCCTAATCGATTAGTTAACTTAATCGATAGCAGATATCACTAATTGCTCAGCTCTTTGACCTCTGGTGAGTCAAGGGTAAGTTTACAGACTTGCAACTCCAAAACCATGGTGTTTAATTCCCCATGTTGGACATAATGCAGATATCCTATTGGGTAGTTTTATGCCAAAAACAACAGTTTATTAGTTACATTTCATTATCTATATGAAGGCACCCAAGTTTTTTTTATTACCATTCAAGTGCTCTTATATTGTATGGAACGGGTACTTCATACATAAATAGAAGCACATGAAGGTCTGAAATTATACTTCCATATTTTATCCTTTCAGACATAAAGCAAACAGTAAGGAGTATTTATTCAAAATGCATTTTTAAATTGATTTCAGGTAAATGAATAGCACTTCCACATGGAAAGACCAAATTTTCATAACTTGGGCTGATCAACAACATTTACTAAAATTGAATCTGATCATTAGTTCAGGTAACAGTAACTGATGAGAAAAATGTCATTTTTGTGTAATTATGTAGTTTAGAATTACAATTTGTTAATTGAATGCTATTGAGATTTGGCATTGATTACAAATTGCCTTGTTTTGATTTTTCTCACTCTACTTTTTATTCAATTTATACTGGGAGGCCTGATATAAGTTCAGTCTTGTTACTGATTGTAGTCTAAACCAAAATGTGTTCATTTGGTTTAAAAAGCTAAAAATGAACTAAAATTGTAACATTTTATCTGTCCTGTTGAATTAACTATTATTTCTCTGCTGATGGCTACTTATCATGATTTTGCTTTTCTTTTCAAATTGAGTTGCTTTTCCAGTGTGGTGGACCAAAAGTCTTGTTGTACTACTGAAAGTACCAGATATACATGTGGTTTTTCAAATTTTATATATTTCTTTTTTAGAACCCAGCTGTTGCTGATGTGTACACAGAACATTCTACCCAAACTACAGTGGCCAAGTATTCCCCAAGCGGTTTTTACATAGCTTCAGCAGGTAGGTAAAGAAGTTAAATTAATTAATTAACTTTTTTTATCATAGTATTCTACGCTAATTTTCATTCACTCGGAATAGATAGTTCATAAGAATGGGCAAGGTGGTAACAGGCTTTCTTATTTTTTGAAATCACTCATGGCCTCCAAACATTTGCTGACAACTACCTCACTTCTAAAAACATACTTTTAACATTAAAAGTAAACTTGTAAAATTTAAAGATTCCACTAATGAAAATGCCATTAGACTTGTTTACTTTTATGTTAAAAATTTTCTGTATCATTAATATAGTATAAGTACAAACAAGATAAGGGAGAGCTTTTTGATCTATAAAGATAACCTTTCAAACAACTACCTTAAGTTAAATGTAGTTTTTTCTCATAGACATATTTTCCAATAAAAATGTTTACAAACTTTCAGCACACAATATATTAACATAAAGAACAACTTGATGATAAAAAAGTTAGTCAATCATTAAAAACAACCCATACAAAAAAACATTTAACTTAAAGGTGAACTTTTTAACCTGTAAACTTATCCATTAGTACCACAAATAAGTCAGTTTTTCTTGGTCAAAGAGTGTCACCTAGAAGGAACAAACAAAACTAGAGTGCAAACTACAATGTTGAACTGGTAAAACGTGCCATAATTAAAGATGTATCTGTAGAAATAGGATGCATAAAACTGTAGGGATACATAATCTATCAGGAGTATCTTCTATATGTAAGTTTTACATGTGAAACTAAACTAGAACCAAAAAAAGTAACTTTGGAATTACAAACTGATATGTATACTTAACCCATTAACTGCGGATGATAGATATTTCCGTCATTGAAGTTCTATGGCTCGGCTGCGAATGACGGAAATTTCCGTCAGTCGCACATGTATAACTATAACTCTATGCGATTGACGAAAATTAGTTTTATTGTGATTGATGGCAACTCAGTTTTATCTGTAAGTCAGAAGATGGCAACTGAGCTGCTCCTGCCACAGTTAATGGGCTAAGCCAACAATACCTTGCATCTAAAACTACCATTCACCATCTGCAGCCTAGTTGCTGTTATGAAATAGAAAAACAAAAATAAAAAAAGAGAAGAAATAAATAAGAACAGGTTATTAATCACTCTTGGTGGTCTTTGAAGTAATTATATTAACAAAGGACCAGTACAGAAAAAATCAGAAGTCAGAACTATGAAAGAAGCATCGATAGTAGACCTGTGAGAAGTAGAGCCTTGATATAATACTGGCAGTAGAACTGTGAAGAGACTTGAACTCTGAAAAAATAACACAGCATTTGGATTACGACAGAGCACTAGTGGAAGGACCATGACAATACACCAGCAATCTTACCCCCTTTTTTTTTTTTATTCTAGTGTGATTTCACCCAAGACTTGCATATATAGGTTAAATCTAATAGGCATGTACCTCTACCACTGTATTAGTCCTATATTTACAGATACCTCTGTTACTAGGGTAGATTTTATCATTTCCACATTCAAGTTTGTGCCATGGTTTTATTTTTCCCTCCTTTATGTGACATTTGTTGCTGGTAAAAAAGTGAAACTGTCTTAGCCTAAGGTTATTTTTATACTGCTAGAATTTATACTTGTTCCCTAATCCTACTATTCTTGCCATTATGTTTGAAAAAAAGATGTTGCATGAACACTATCAATTCCTTTAGTCTTAAACACTTTAAGCAGACCCCACTTTAACTCTTCTCTTGTCAAGAGAAAACAATTTCAGAGTTCTTATACTGTTCTTGTATCACAGTGGCCTTTCTCTGAACTCTCTTCAAAAATTCAATGTCCTTTTTAAGGTAAGAAACCCAAGACTGAACACAGAATTCCAAATGTGGCCTAACCTTTGACCTCTACAATGAAATGATAATCTCATTAATCCTATTGCCTTGGGTATCCATTACTGCGCATGACACAAGGTTTTAGTGTCTCACATTCAAAATTTTATTAAACTACTTTTTGTTTATGTTATACCAATTAGAATAACATAAAATCTTAAGTAATAATCCATATTTTAATAGCATACAAGTTTTAAGTTCTTAATTCTACAAGGCAAAATAAAGAATAAATCTTGAATTTCCACTAGTGTGGCCCATGTGACACATTTTCTCTTAGAATGTCATCATCCCTGTTTTATCCACTGCCCTTCGAAAAAGTACGTAAGTATGTAAACTACTCTCTATAAAATCATTATTGCTCTGGACAAACCATAATTTTATAGCCTTCAATTTTGTTTGGTTACAAAGCTATCGAATAGAAAATCAGACCCCTCCTGCCACACCCACCTGTTATATTCTCTCTTTCAGAATTCATTAATAATTCTCTCTTACGTTTTGTTATATATTACTTATAACCAATAGAAAGTCAAGGTTTTCGTGTATCAAACGACGTATTGTTTTGAACAGTTAATGTCAGTTTCACTCAGAGTACCAGCATTGTACCTGTGGGAAAGTTAACAACTAGCTTGGATGAATTTATAACAGCTCTTGAGAGGTAGGTGAATTTGTCAATTTTTTTGCATGTTATTAGTCTATTCTTTGGTGCATTATTTAATTAAATAA